TTTTCCGCTACTATTGACTGGCTTACAAGAGAAGTAATTTACGCTTGGAAAAATCGAAGACAGAGAATTTGATATGCTGATAAATTTGACACAGCCAAATCATTCGAAATACGAAACCTTGATCTATAAAGGAATTGGGAGATTAAAGCGAAGAAGGAGGAAAGAGACGCGAGTGAAATCAAGTGTTGAATTTCACACCATGTTTCAGCTCAGTCACAGGGGCCATTAACTGACCTGCAAACGTTCGTTTATAGACAGAACAGAAATTATCGACAATCGCGTAAATTTACCCGAAGCGCAAATTGCTTCAAGTAAATTAATCCACTAGACACTATCGCTGCCCCCTTCTTGACACACTCTTAAATCTCTAGCGCTACGCATCTGTGTAAATGCACTGAGGAAAAGAAAGAGTGAACACTGTCAGACCGAGAGGAATTAAATGGGTCTACATTTTCAGTAACATAGAACTCTGATACTGAATCACATCCGAATTTTCTAGACGCTATCCTTATTCTCACTCACTAAGTGGAGTTCCCGTCAATTGGTATTAAGATTCTTATTATACAGATAGTCCGTTTCAGAGACAAGAAAAACATGTTCCGAACACTGTGTTCTCAGGTAGCTAGTACGAACAATTTTTAATGAGCAAATATCTTTTCAGTCAAACTTCCGAGTTTATTTATATTTGCCGAAAAGTGTGCGTGGGTAGTCTAATGTTATACTAATTTATTTCATGTTAAATGGGTTCCTTGTCAACGTTGCAAGCCACATTCTCGGGATGTGGACTGTGGAGAAACGGCCTCCAGATACTAAGAATGTCTGCGAATATCCTGACCAAGTAATCGCGGACAGCGGACCAAGAAACCAGTCCTCCACCTTGTTAGACAGGCGTCCAGCACTAACACGCATCTTATACAATTCGTTTGTGGGGGCTAATTAAAGCGGCCAGAGGTGGAGTTACTTTGTGGGGGCGTAAAACGGATTCAGCAGGTTCAGAACACTTTTTTTTTTAAAAAAAAAGTGATGGGTCCTTGGGCTCCACATCAGAAGAGGAACCTTTGATCGGCTGAAGAACCATCGAAATCTGGATAAAGAAGTTATTTTCTCATCTAGACCATGCATGCTACACATCCTGCCCATCTCACCCCCTTGATTTGACAAGATTATTATTCATGAGATGATAAAGTTGCGTCATATTGTGATAAATATATATTTCTTTAAATCTTGTCAGTCTAATCTCAATAAAATTCCTATTAAATATTAAAATATTACCATAATTAACATTTAAATATTTAAAA